GAATCACCATGAAAGTATTTATAGAAAAGGCACAGTGAGGCCACCTTACTGTGATAAGAAAGAGACTGAAGCCTAGAAGAGAGTCAATAATGTTGCTGATTCTTCTTTGGAGTTTATCAAGGAACTCTAGATGAATAGCAGAAGCACCGGAAAGGGATAGTGTTATTAGGTTATGTGGCAACAACATTCTAATTCTAAGCATGGAAGTATGGTAGACTTATAGATATATAAGATAGATTCTAGAGAGATACAGCACGACACAGTGAACCGACTTTCTTAGCAGCTGACCTGGCAATTAATTCAATATAGTCTTTCCACTTCATGTCATCCGAAAATATTAGCCCGAGAAGGCCGAAAGAATCACTCTCCTGGAGGTCAGTATACATATATTAATAATTTCCCCCAAAGCAAGGCAATAAAGCCACTAAGACGCAAGATGCTATTAACTGGGAAAGAGTCTGTCTATATTTCTGAGATGAGGTATTATGTACATTATTTACATTATTCGGACTGTTTTCCTCATCCCAACGTTTCGGCCGTTTTATGCTCTGACCTTCTGGGTGGTTGGAATGTCGAACTGAACCCTTTATTTCGCTCACTGGGGTAGACTGTTCTAGTTCCCTGTGCCATGTTTGATGGATGTCAGTTATCAGTTATCTCCTGTTAATTTCCCTCTGAAAGTTCTCCACTGCCTTAACCGGGTATTGAACTCACACCCTGTCATTGGATCTAACCAATGCCTTTATCCACTGTGCCATGTGTCCTTGAGGACGTCTGGGTATGAATTTCTTTATAAACCTAATGTCTTCAGCAACCATTTTTACCAGTGCTCATATTGCAATTTTGCTGTTATCATTACATATTTTTACCAGAGCTCATATTGCAACTATGTTGTTATCATTGCTTTTCTCTGGCACTCCTTATTACTGGTTCCCATATTGTATTTATTTCTATGCTTGGTCGGCTCAGGAGATTTTTGTGGCCTAGCATATGTGCTGATTCCTTAAGTTTACGAATTTTCCAATGGTCTTCCTTGTCAATGATCTCAACCTGATCCCACAGAGGGCGGTGATCTCCCTTCTCTCTCCATATGTGGTCAGCCACGCCTGATTTTTCTACTTCCCCTCGTGTTACAGCTTTCTGGTGTTCTTGAAGCCTTACCTTGACGGGGCGGCCTGTCTCTCCTTTATATTCCTTTCCGCAGCTGCATGGGATAGCGTACACACAGTCTTTAGTCATGTTCTCCTCTATGGGGGGGGTCTTACTCGGGAGAGATATCTGCGAAGTGTCGTCAAGCTTTTGAAGATCCTTTGTATTTTCTCTGATAACCCCTTCACATAAGGCAGTCTGACTGTTTTCTGAGTGTTGTTGTCCTCCTCCTCTTGTACCCGCCCATCCCAGTTTTTGGGGGTTGCTCCCCAAAACAGAAAAGAGTTCCACAAGCGAGAAGTGCGAAAGAAGAAACTGTTAGCATAGAAGTTGCGGTTGCATCCAGCCATTTCGACTGAAAAGTGATGAGAACTAGCTACCAATCTAGTACTACGCTTAAATTCGTCTAGGCACCAAAGAGGAAAGCTAATCATAGCAATTAATATGAAAACATATATATATATATATATATATATATATATATATATATATATATATATATATATATATGAGAGAGACAGACAGACAGACAGACAGACAGACAGACAGACAGAGATGAAGAGACTGATATTTCAATAGAAATCGATATGAAGATAACGATTGACATTGTATTTAAATTTTTGAAGATCTAGTTGACTGGAAAGCAAGAAACCGGATGAGAGTCCACAAGCGAGAAGTGCGAAAGAAGAAACTGTTAGCATAGAACTTACGGTTACATCTAGCCATTTCGACTGTAAAATGATGAGACCTAGTACTGCGCTTAAATTCATAGTCTAGATGCCAAGGAGGAAAGCTCATCAGAACAATTACCATGAAAATATTTATAGAAAAGGCATAGGAAACGGCAGTAGAAATAGCACAGGTTACGGCAGTGGGAAATTGACTGAAACCGAGATGCCAGATCAGTATCAATAACATTGAAGATACTTTCTCTAAATGCATAGCAAAAACACCAGATTAGATATGGCAGCAAAGTTTAATGCATGGATAAATGCTAGATTTATAAATGTGTAAGATAGAGTCGTGAGCCGGAGTCCCTGAGGTGTGTGGGTGGTGGACACAGCTAGGCAAATCGGGTCCTCCTGATAACAAGTCGCAGGCCCTCTTCATGTTGACGGTTGGACTCGAAAGATTCGCTTTCCCTCGGGTGGTCATACGCTAAGAAGGCCGATTTGCAGCAACAGTTTCCCAGGTGTTAGGATTGATGTTGGCCTGTATATATAAAAGCAATATATCATTATAATATCTATTGTAATCAATAATAACTTGTTTGGGGATTGTCGGCCTTATGCAGGAAATCTAATTGCAGCCTAACATATTTAAGAAATGCAGAAAATACAAACTGTAGAAACATATTTGTGAGTAACGCAGTCTCTACCTGAAAAATACTATTTTACATGTTTATATTGGTTTCTGGATATTCTGTAAGCTTTATCAATCTTCCATACATTGCATTTGTTAATCATTTTTCTGGAATTTGAGAACAGTTTGTTACTACATGTGTTGCCTATCGAATGCTTCGTGTACCAAATACCAGAAGATACTCGTGGTCATCAGGAGAGAATGTGCTCCGTTTCGGGGTCTGCCTCCTGACGGATTCTACTTCTGCATCACTTTACCTCACCGATGTAAGGTCCGCACAATCAGGTTCGACGTGTTTACTGTTTGTCGACAACTTTTCATTCATTGTTGTTACGTTATCCTCTAGGTTTGCAATTACATTTCTCTGCTTGATTCCAGTGAATTCCATCCATCTTCACATGTGTGCTCCTGTGTATCCTGTGCAATCCACATCTCAACAGGTTGCCTGTTACCCTGCGCCTTTTTCGTACTGCTTTTCACTTAAGATTTCAAATGCATCAGTGTTTCCTCATATATAACTATGAGTTCAATCACCTTCTTCTCAGCACCCCAGGTTACCAAATTTGAACACTGGTATATTGATATTGATAAGAACTTTCGGCAGCTTGGCAGGTCTGCTGAATTGCAGAAATTTCCGTTCCTTACCATTCCTCTTTAATATTATTTTCCATTCTTAAATACATTTTTTCTGATAATGGACCATGTTTCCCATTGGAATAATATCTGGAGAGGCTGACGGCATTCTCTTAATTTGATGTCTTGAAATATGTATCCAATAATCAGCTTCGAAAAAAAGTGGGCGAGCCTCACTTTGCTTGAATATACTCTTTCGTTTAAAGCTACTTCATTATAACTTTTAGTATAAAACCTTTTTTCCGAGTACTCTGCATATCAACTTAGGGAACTAAATGTTTACGACCTGCAAAACTACCCCCCCAAATTACTCCATCTTCATCTTTTCGTCCTGTTAACATTCAAAACATCAGATTGCTCGAATGTTTTTGATGATTAACCTTTCTTTTTTATTAGTTTTTTTTTGTTTTTCTCAAGTTTTTTCTGATCTTTGTAATGTCAGTTATTTACTCGACCAACCCAATAACTTTACTAGATTGTTTTTACTCTCGTTTTTAAACATTTCCCCCAAAGCGAGGCAATAAAGCCACTAAGACGCATTGGGTTACTGAGTGTTAGAGAATATGAGAAAAATACACGATTAAGGAGCGAATACAATAAAAGAACAAGAATTAAGAAGACAGTAGATAACAATCTTCATTGCATTTAAATTTTTGACGATCAAAGTTGACTCCGAAGCAAGAAACCGGAAGAAAGTTCCACAAGCGAGAAGTGCGAGTGAAGAAACTGTTAGCATAGATCTTACGGTTACATTTAGCCATTTCACCTGTAAAATGAGACCTTGCTGTCAAACTAGTAATGTGCTTAAATTCAGAAAGTCTAGATACCATAGAGAAAGGTCATCAGAGCAATTACCATGAAAACATTTATAGAAAAGACACAGGGAAGCTACATTACGACGGTGGGAAAGGGACTTAAGCTGAGATGCCAGGTCAGAACTAATAACATTGCAGATTCTTTTTGGATTTTTTTCAGGAATCTCTAAATATCACCAGGATCATGAGACTAAATGTGGCAGTAGTATTCAAAGCAAGTACGAAAGATAGACTTATACACGCATAGCATTGATTCCGGCGAGAAAAATAGTCTAGTACGACACAGTGAATCAACTTTCCTAGCAGTAAACCTATCAATTGAGTCAAAGGTTAGCATCAGCGATGCTGATGAAATATAAAAAAGGTTTTCTCAGACGATTAAACCGACCAGACGTATTATTAAGAGTGGAATCAATGGTTGTGTCAACAGCATAGATAGAGAGTTAAAAGATGATGCCATTGGGAACGTCGTTGATGAACATTAGGAAGAACGTAGGTGCAAGGATAGACCCTGGGGGACGCCTGCATTATTTCAGAAAGATCTAGAAGAGTGGCCATTCAAGATAACATTCATTTCCCGATTCGATAAAAAGACTAAGTCATTTAAAATATTCGTTCAGAATTACCCTAACTTTTCAACGTGTGAAGAAGACCAGCATGTCAAACCGTGTCAAATGCCTTTGAGATATCCAAAGCAACAGCCCGAGCTTCACGAATCTTATCTAAAGCTTGATAGACTCTTTCAACAATAATCATTAGCATATGAAAAAAAAAAAAAATTGTGAGATGAGATGCTTAACGCATTCAGAATTGATTAGAACCTTTCGTGATTATAGCTTTCTACGAACCATCGTAAATGTTTTATACCATTTACTTATTTAATACAAAATCCAAGAATCATTCAAATAGAGAGTTTTTGAATGAAGTTATTGCAAAAATGTAATGAAGTGCAGATTATGAGGATATATAACCGAGACCTGAAGAGGTTAAGATCGTAGTGATCGAGGAAATATCCTCTCTGGAATGTATGCCACATTTCAGTTCATCTATCTATCTATCTATCTATCTATCTATCTATCTATCTATCTATCTATCTATCTATCTATCTATCTATCTCAGTCTATTTACATCTCTCTCTCTCTATCTATCTCAGTTTATTCACATCTCTATCTATTTATCTATACACACACACACACACACACACACACACATATATATATATATATATATATATATATATATATAAAGATTAGTTCATTATGTCTTAGAAAATATTCAGTAAATCAATATAAGATCAATTGACTTATCTAATTGACCAACTCAAGTTTCGCGTCGAAACATTCCTATTCGATAATAGAATATCAAACATCTGGCTCTGATGAGGGTTTCGACACGGAATTTGTGAGTCAGATTTCAATTGAACCTTTATCTATTTAATTATTATCTATTGGACGCTTTTTGGAAAAAGTCTTACTGACCTGAAAGAAATACGGTAAAATTCTCGGCATATTCACGTATCTTCTTTTCGTTGTATCAATATTATTACTTTTTTATTTGAATCATTTCACCCCAAGCATGGCAATAACGTCACAAAGACGCAAGAAGTTACTGAGTGTGAGGCATTTCGATTTGACCGCGATGAAAATAAAAAGCCGGTAAAAGCTGATAACCAAGAAATGATTTCATTTTATAATAATAACGAGATGTTGAAAAATAGCCAACATTGAATTCTTTTTGCTGTTCAAAAGCAAAGACTTCGATAGAAAAAAAACTTAACAAAAATTAAACTGATTGTTTCGAACATTTGCCGTAATGACATTGCTACATCGCACGTCGCTGTCAAGTGAAATAAGAATAAATTGACGTCATGACACTGTCGAACTTGAGACGAATTTGACAAGTATCGTACCAATATGCAAATAGCTCTTTCTATACACATCTTTCTGATATGCTCGTAGTGTAGCGGTAGGTGAGATTGGTATGCCAAATTCAAATTAGAGCCGACGACGTTGCGTTCACTTTCACATAAAATACCCGTGGAAAGGCATGAATCAATCACTTCTCCATCTATCTATCTTAATTTGTCCATCTCTATCTCTTTCTCTATATATGTATATTTTTTAATTTATTTGTTTAAACATAATTTTTTAAATGGATACTCATATTTGAGTAGACGCTCCGCTTTTATTTATTTATTAAACAGTAGATCGATTTATTTACATCTACCGCCCTTAATATTCGAGAAATCTTCTAAGAAAAATAGGCATTCTCCGGCAGGACCTTTAAAGATTCGCTATAAAATGAGCATACATGTTGAAAAAAATGCTTCAAATTTAATAAAAACAGTTTTATCGTCAAAATTAATATTGCTATTATTATTAAGAGGAAAGACCAAAGGATTTCTTTATTATTAAATTATATTTTTTTTATTCCTTTTTAGAACCTTGAAAATTCTATTTAAAAATTTTGTATTTTCTTGCGTAAGCGAGTGACAATAAATTGGTATGGAAAATTTTAGCAACTTTTTTCGGTAAAATCACATTGATTAGGAAACTTACAAAATTCTTGTAAAAATAGGATAATTGTTGGATTTTAATAATACTTATTCTAGAAACGTTTCTTTGTTTTAGAAAATCTTGGTAAAATATTTTCTTTCTTATTTAATTTTCGAAAAATCCATTTTTGTATGAAATAATGTTTATATTGATTATAAGCAGAAGTCCTTGGAGAATTTAAATCATCAACTTTTTTTGATAAATAATGAATTTTTACAAGAATTGTTTTCATTTTTTAAAAAGTTTTAATTATAATAATTTATAAAATTTTAAATCATTTAAAATTATTTATTAATTTGTAGCGATTAGTTGATACTGTTATTAAACAACATCTAATCATAAATAAAAAAGCTTGCTACAGTTCGGTGAACCCAGTATTTTAAAAATTATTTTAAATATTTTTTTTTTTATGTCTGTGTATAAACATCCCAATTTTTGTAAATACAGGCGTCCATACACGATATTACCCAAAAATAAGAGTGGTTACTACAGTAAATTTAACATTTATTCGTAATTTTCTTACTACTTAGAATATTTTCCTAAAGTTTCAAGATTTCGGAGTAGTTAAAAAATTATATGAAAAAAACATTCACGTTATAATCGCCAAATAATTGTTACGATAATTGTCTCCCATTCGAAAAATTCCCAGAGAAGTCTCGTGAGAAACTTGTCAACGCCTCTTAAAAAAAAACAAAAAACACTCAACTCGTGTTAAAAATGCTTTTCTGCGATATTTCAAACGAAAAGTAATATTTGTTTCAATTCAGAATAATTAAATTTTAAATCAGCAAATAAAATTCCCCAAATAAAGTTTCAGAAAAGTACTTTTTATTTTTGAAAGATCTTTTAATAAAGAGAATTACGTTGTGTTGAATGATTTGAAAATACGGACAAAAATGTTTTTAAAATTCCAATCTAAATTCGTTTGAAATACAGCAAATTATTTTGCTTACTGGTAATATTAATTTTAATCAATTAGCATGAAATTAAACTAGAATAAAAACATCAAGAAAGATTTTTCATTTCTAAAATTGCATTTTAAATCTTAGGTATCACTTATCTTTGCAGGTACCTATGTATCAGTCTCTTCATATCTATCTATCTATCTATCTATCTATCTATCTATCTATCTATCTATCTATCTATCTATCTGTCACGGAGATTGAGTTTTACATCAGTTCTCTTCTGGTGCTGTATATCGCATTGTTGTTATTAATCTAATTAATGAGTCATTATCTGTACATCTATCTCACTCCTTTATTATACGGCTTGTTAAACTACACAGATGAGAAAATATACGAACAACCCTCCCCTCGAGTCGGCGCTCTCCCCATTCTGTGGGATTGTTTGTTTTTAACTTTACGGTTCTTGTATTGCCCACATCCCCACCTCAAGTTTACCTTGACATAAAATGCTTGCCGATTGCTATTTTCATTGAATTTTTATGGCTTTTAGCGGACGTAGAATCTGGGAATGGATTCCCTTCTGCTGTGTCTTGACTCACTGAAGTTATATCACGACCATGTCCAACGAATTTCAACTCATCTTGTGTAAATAAACACGACAAATTTACCGACGACATGAGATATTTTCCTTTTTCATTTTCTCTTTGTCTATAAACTATTCTGAGCCTATCTATCTATCTATCTATCTATCTATCTATCTATCTATCTATCTATCTATCTATCTATCTATCTATCACAATTTGTTCATATCTATCTATCTATCTATCTATCACAATGTGTTCATATCTATCTATCTATCTATCTATCTATCTATCTATCTATCTCACTGTTCATTATGTATCTTTCTATCTATCTATGCCTGTTCATATCTATCTATCTATCTATCTATCTATCTATCTATCTATCTATCTATCTATCACAATTTGTTCATATCTATCTATCTATCTATCTATCTATCTATCTATCTATCTATCTATCTATCACAATGTGTTCATATCTATCTATCTATCTATCTATCTATCTATCTATCTATCTATCTATCTATCTATCACAATTTGTTCATATCTATCTATCTATCTATCTCAATCGATTCATATCTATCTCAGTCTGTTTATCTCTCTCTCTCTCTCTCTCTCTCATCGCATTTGCATGAGATAGAAAAAAGGAAAGCCGAAGCTTAGTAAAAGTTTCAAAATGTGAGTTTGAATATATTAATATCCTGGAAAGATTACTTTTAAATTTGGAAGCAAGGAATCACTCATGCAGAACCCAAAGAGTTATACTAAACATAAACATATATCCTCACCTTCGAGGCTAGGGTGTGTCTTGATTTCAGAATTCTCTAATAGTCGCTTATAAAATATGACATTCATGACATTCAGCAATTTACAATTGGGTACGGTACAGTGCGACGTCAGCCATTTATTTCCAAAAGCTTCCAAAATCGCTGTTTTCTAGTAGACAGAAGATTTCTTGATCTAACGCTCCGAAATAGATATAAAACAACTCTTGGCGATAGTAATTCTACATTAATTGATATTTTTTAAATGAGTTACTTACACTCTAAAAGCAAACACAATAATTTGCCAGTAAGTTTGGACAGGATTAATGCTTTATCCCTTGTTCCCTGTTTAGGATTGTGTTTCTGGTTCCTTCTAATGTCTTCTCATTTTCTTTCACTCCGACTACCCCCCCCCTTGCGTCTTAGTGACATTATCGCCTTGCTTGGGATGAATTGATTAAAAAAAAATATCTATACATTATACAATTTTAATTGTTTTCTTTTCTCGATATTTGTTGGTACCAAAACAGGTGGTATTTTTGATGACTACAATGTTCAATATTATAAATGTTCAACTAAAAAAAATAATTTCACACCAAACAAGGCGATAAAGTCACTTCACGCCAAAGATCCACCATGCCACTCACATTCTAGCACCTCCCCCACATTCCCTCCGTATTTCATCGGTGAGAATTAAGTTCCACTCGAACAGCTTCTACCCGCGAACCACAGTCCTCTAGGACCGACTCCTAGCAGGATGTTTCCCCGATCCCCACAATCTTAATTTGTTCAAGGCTTAACCGTTATCTTTGACAAAAATGGCCTCGACGTAAGCCTCTATCTCGAATGCTCTCGGGCCTTGTAAACCATACTGTAAAAAAAAAATAATCTCCAGATATTTCCAAAGTCAGATATCAAAGAAGAGATTTTCAAACGATACAACTTTTCCGATAGTGTGCTCTCATGCCGGGCACTAATAAATCGTTCAGCGCTTTTCTGTCGCTAAACACCTGTTTTATAAGGCTGTGTATGCGTATGTGTGTATGTGTGTATCTGTGTGTGTGCATGTGTCTATCTGTGAGTGTATGTGTGCGTATTTGTGTCTAGTTGAGCAAGACGAGTAAAACACCTCGAGAAAACGCTTGGTCCGGTGGGAGAAAGTCGGTTGGTGTTTGCAGTGTAGGTAAGGATATGCCTTGTTGAAGATGATCAACAATAGAGAGAACAAGAATGGCTGGAATAAGGAGAGAGAGAGAGAGAGAGAGTGTGTGTGTGTGTGTGTGTGTGAGAGAGAGAGGGAGAGAGAGAGAAGGGTAATGAAATAAGAGAAGAGGAAAAAGAAGAGAAAAAGAAACAAATGAATAAGGAGAGATAACACAAGAAAGAAAACAAGCCTGATGTTAGGAAATAGCGAGTGAAAATGAGAAAAGAGAAAGAAAGAATGGCACACGAAGAGATGATAATAGAGAGGAAAGAGAGAAAGGATGAGGGGAAAAGAGGGGCAGGGGAGAAAGAAAGGAAATAAGAGTGTGAAAAGAATGTTAGGAGATAGATAGAGAGAATGATAAGAACGGGAGGGGAATTCAGAGGAGGACAGCGAAAGAATTTGTGTCGTTGGGAAATATGGCAAAGCTAAAGTATCAGGTGTACGTGCCTTGATTTCAGTAACATTGCGCATTGATATTCCCAGGTGAGACAGATTGATTGTAAATCGTTGTTGGGCCAGGTGCTTCGAGTTTAGAAACACCTGGTCGTAAATGACCTTTCTGTCTTTATCTATTTTTTTCTACCTTCTCAGTCTTCCTGATTTTTCTTTTTCACTTACCTTCTCTCTTTTGCTAGTTTTCTTATCTCTTTTTCATTATTTAACAATTTTTTTTCAATAGATTTGAGTAACTCCCGCTCATTTAAACGCACATATTCTAATATTCTCTCCCGTTTCGTATCTATCTATCTATCTATCTATCTATCTATCTATCTATCTATCTATCTATCTATCTATCTATCTGGACTGTGCCTCTTTCCTTTCTCTCTTTTCCTTTCAATTCATTTTTGTTCCACGTTTGATGGCCTTCCCAAACTCACTCTCTCTCTCTCTCTGTGCACTTTCCCTTCTTTTCGTCTTCTCTTTCACGATTTCACTTCTCTCTCGTGTTTCAAATGTCAAGCAATACATGTTATAGCAGACACCTCCACTAATCCTTTATTTCTTATTATTTTTTTATTTATTTCTTAGAACAGAAATGATCATTGTTTTTACAGTGATGTTCACCCTGTACAATGAGCGTGCGGGTGCATCACTCGAAATAGAGTGTTACATTAAGAGGCAGTCTATATGGATAGGAGGGGTAAACGGTTAACTCTAGACTTGAACAGGTTAAGATTGTAGTAATCAGGAAACACCCTTTTAGGAGTCAGTGGTTCACGGGAAGAAGCTATTCGATTGGAACTTATTTCTCGCCGATGGGATATAGAGGAAATGTGGGTGATTTGCAACAATGTAATTCGCATGGTGCGTCCTAGCTGTAAAGGTTAGACCTGATGGAACCAAGGCATGTAGTTCATCCGAGCACTTTCCATAGATGTAACGATAGAACAGTAAAAGACTTGCCACATCCCGCCTATGAAAGAGAACTTGGAGGGTGGAAAATAATTCGTCACTCACAAGAACTTGGAAACGCTTTTGGAAATCTATCATGACTGGAAAGTGAGACACTGAATTATTCGAAGTGTTGTTCTCATCCTCGTTGTTATATGCACGCCATTTCGGCCGTTGTACCCTTCGGTCTTCTGGTGTCCTTCATACTTGGTCAATTTATGTGAATTTTGAACCAATCAAAGACATAGTTCTTTCTTTTTTCTTTCCATTTGTTTATTTTCTTTCTTTCTTTCTTTCTTTCCTTTCCTTCTTTCTTTCTTTCTTTCTATTTGTTTGTTTTCTTTCTTTCTTTTTTCTTTCCATTTCTTTCTTTCTTTCCATTTGTTTATTTTGTTTCTTTGTTTGTTTGTTTGTTTGTTTGTTTCTTTCTTTCTTTCTTTCCATGTGTTTATTTTCTTTGTCTCTTTTTTTCTTTATCTCTTTTTCTATTTGTCTCTTTCCCTTCTTTTTTATTGAAACAGTTTCTTTAATAGAAGCTTTTTCATAATTATACGATTCGGTTTAGTATCTCCATGTTTGTTATTTTGATTTCTGTTTGTTTTCAAATCCCGATTACCAAAAGATAATGACTTATATACGTAAACATAAAACGGAATTCATGTGTACGTACCAGATGAAAATCGAGTAACCATTAAAAGTACCGAGTTAGTGAGTTTCATTTCCATATTTTAGCAAGAGATGGAGATAAACATAATTTTCATTGTAAGACAAAAGACTTTTTCTTCTTTCTATCAGTGACAAATTTCTGTGCAATTTGAAAAGGAAATTCTCGTTTTATTTAGATTTCGTCATTTTAACTGCGACATTGGCAATTTAAAGCAATCACGACTGAACACTGAATCTTTTTCTATGTAAGGATAAAATCATCAAAAGAGAAAAAAAAGGTGGAAAGAAGTTCGATTCTACGTTAAAGAATACTGTTAACGCCATAAAAAGTAATGATCGCCTCTGAAGAAGGGCGGAGGTTGAGGAATAACCAAAATGATTATATTCTTCACTGACAGAAGGTGGATTTCGAAAGATTGGTTTAAGGAACATTGGTCTAAGGAATATTGGTCTAAGGAACATCTGTCTAAAGAATATTAGTTTAATGGAAACCTGTCTAAGAACATTTGCCTAAGGAATACTCGTCTAAGGATATTGATCTATAGAATATTCGTTTAAGGACATTGATCTATGGAATACTCGTTTAAGGATATTGATCTATGGAATACCCGTCTAAGGACATTGATCTAAAGAATATTCATCTAAGGACATTGATCTATATAATACACGTCTAAGGATACTGATCTATAGAATATTCGTCTAGGGACATTGATTTATGGAATACTCGTTTAAAGATATTGATCTATGGAATACCCGTTTTAGGATATTGATCTATAGAATATTCGTCTAAGGACATTGATCTATGGAAAACTCATCTAAGTACATTGACCTGTGGAATATTCGTCTAAGGACATTGATCTATATAATACCCGTCTAAGGATATTGATCTATGGAATACCTGTCTAAGGACATTGATCTATGGAATACTCGTGTAAGGAGCATTGGCTCATAATAATATTTTTTAATACATTAACGCTTTATTCATGTACAAAATACTCAATATTATTGACATTCACTCCATTACAGAATAATATTTAAGGCATAGTAACATTAATTATTGATGATGCATGTGCCCGATAAGCATTTATTGGCTGCATTGTTTGTATATATTATAGAACCCACATCAGACTATAATTCTCCTGACGAATAGTTCTTAGACGTTTATTCTTTAAACGAGTCTTCCTTACACCAATATTTTTAGAACAATATTCCTTAGACCAATATTCCTTCGACGAATGTTCTTTAGAGGGATTTTCTGGCTTCCACATAAACTCGATGTTATAATGGCTAAATGTTATTTTTGGTTCTTGCAAAAATTGCTAACAATCACAAAAGAAAGCTAAAATTTCTATAAGACATGATGAGAAAGGTAACCTTGGAGAATTTAAGACTCACTGGACTCATTAAACTCAAACGAAAGAAGATTAAGTGAATGGGTAACAGAACAAGGACAAAGTGAGGCGCTAAAGGTTTTTTTTTACTATCATTCACACAATATAAAGCTCAAGAGCTACTCAAGTTAGAGGGTTCCTGAATGAGGTTGTTGTAAGGGCGTAAAGAGAAGAGGTTCATATTATGAAGATATATAGGATAGATATTGGTTAAAACTAGACTTGAGATTCTAATGGTCGATTAAGCATCCTATCAGGATTCTGTTCCATAAAATCACTGTTCTGAAGATGCTGTGTGGAACTTCCTCCTTTTCAAACTAATACGAAGGGAAGTCCGGATGATGTAGAGGGCCATGGTCGCACACGCCCCGAGAGATCATAGTATATAAAATAATAAATTTGTGCGTTAAATTTTCAACCCGATAAACAGTCACTGAATATCAAATCTTTTGATTTTTTTCCCAAATTTAGGTGATTTATTTAGAGCTATAAACAAAAAAAAAAAAAATAAATAAAATAAAAAGTGAACCTTCTAACTAAAACTGCTTCAGTCTAGGCATTCGAGAAACGAGAGATTGTAAATATAATTATTCTTTTAATAAATGTACCTTTTAATAGAAAGTAGTAACTTCAATTAATACAAGAAATTACTATTCCGAATAAAGATCACTATTCCGGGAAGAAAACGCTAGTCAGGGAAGAAACCACTATTCTGGAAAGAGATCACTATTTCGGAAAGAAATCATTATTCCGGGAAGGAATTAATACTTAGGAAGATATCAATATTCCGCGAAAAAATCACGATTCAAGAAGAAATCCCTATTCCGGGAAGAAATCACTATTCCGGGAAGAGGGAAATAATAAATACAATTGGCATTTAGATTACAAAATATTACTGGCGGTGTCTGAGCGACCTGATAATTTGTCTCTGTGCGACAAAGCTACTTGTTAATTAAAATTTGCAATGCTCATTAATAAAAACATAACTTCATCTGCTTATGATACCAAATTGCGAAATAATATCTCGTATTTTTAGTGATAACCCGTACAACAAAATACGTTTTTGCATTTTAATCATAGAAGTTCCAAAAAATCAATAAAAATATTTATTTGCAAAAATCAATCACTTTTTCAAATAGTCCTATTGATACATAAAATTCCCTAATTTGTGGGGTTAACTCACTTATTTTACCAAAAATCGCCGCTAGGGGACGCTCCTTAAACCTACAAATAGGAAATGACATTACGTTATACTCTCTTTTTCCGTTTTTTTTTTCTCTAGCTTTCAGATGTAGGCCCACGTCGATAAGGCGCGTCTGCTTCCTTTGGTCCTCCGTTGACTTTTGAACTCTCTCGCATGCATGCATATAGAAACATGTGTCTATCACACACGCTTGTTGCACTTACTTCTATAGAAACACCTTCACTAGTTTAAATATATTTTTCATTCATATTCATTGTTTTGTCAATCTTCAATTGTCTATGTATACCCTTCTTTTGTTAATATATACTTATCATTTGTTTATATATAGTTTTATTGTTACTTTGTTCATTTCTTACTCGGAATCGCATTTCGAGTCCGCCAATTTTGTTATGGAATAAATATGCCATGTGAAATGTGTTTCCACCAAAACACACAACCTGCATATTCCCGTAACAAATTCTTCAAATGTAATAGATAAAATGTAATAATTAAAAACAGAATCGATTTTAAAATGGAGACAAACTAGACTAGAGTTTTCCTCTACTACTCAGATTATTTTCTATTTTCTTTCGAGTATCCACATAAAATTTCATAAAACCTCATTGTTTTTTATTAATAGTAATCAATTATCTTTAACATTGATATGTATATTTTAGATATGTACTTGTCTGAAACACCCCCACCATTTTTTTAAAAGAAAAGGGCTTTTTCATACAGGCAAAATCAGCACACCGGCAATATTTGAGTCTATATTAATATTTTTATTGAATCCGAATGTCGACCGACTCTATTTTGCAATGTTTAATATGCGAATATATCCCAGTGGAAAAAATGCGGTGCTTTTTCTCTTGACCCGTACCTCCTGGCCTCAGCCGCCTGCAAGTATTTGCTGTATGAATGAGGTATAGGCGGACGAGTGCATTGGGCTTTACGAACGCCAATGGAACAGTGAAAACAACGTTAAAATTTCGTTTTTTTTTTGCATGATCATTATAGACAAAACAATATTTTAACGGTGAAATATTGAATAAAAAGTACATGAGAAAGAGTGAGGTGAGACAGAGAGACAAAACGGAAGACGAAAGAGAAAAAGAAAAATAATAATGATAATGGGCGAGAAAGGAAATGGATGAGAAAAAGGAGAAGATCACTTTTGGCAAAAATAAGGCAAAGTAAAGAAAGGTATTTAGACGAGATAATAATTAAAGGATGGCGTGTACAGAAAAGAAAATCAAAACATAGAGAAAGAAGGAAGGGAGGAAAGAAGGAAGCAGGGAAGGAAACAAGGAGGGAAGAAAAGAAGGAGGGAAGGAAAGAAGGTAGGAAGAAAAGGAGGAGGGAATGAGAGAAGGAAGGAAGGAAACAAGGAGGGAAGAAAAGGAGGGAAGGAAAGAAGGAAGGAAGAAAAGGAGGAGGGAATGAGAGAAGGAAGGAAGGAAACAAGGAGGGAAGAAAAGAAGGAGGGAGGGAGAGAAGGTAGGAAGAAACGATGGAGAGAAGGAGGGAAGGAGGAGGGAGGAATGAAAGAAGCAGGGTAGGAAACAAGGAGGGAAGTAAAGAAGGAGGGAAGGAAAGATGGTAGGAAGAAAAGGAGGAGAGTATGAGAGAAGGTTGGAAGAAAAGAAGGAGGGAAGGAAGGAAAGAAGCAGAGAAGGAAAAAAGGAAGGAAGAAAAGAAGGAGGGAAGGAAAGAAGGTAGGAAGAAAAGGAGGAGGGAATGAGTGAAGGAAGGAAGGAAACAAGGAGGGAAGAAAAAGAGTAGGGAAGGAGAGAAGGAAGGAAGGAAGGAAGGAAGGAAGGAAAGAAGGAGGGAAGAAATGAAGGAGTGAAGGAAGGAAGGAAAGAAGGAGGGGGAGAAGAAGGGAAAGAGAGAAGTTGCGAAGAAAAGAAGGAGGGAATGAGAGGAGGGAGGAAAGAAAGAAGCAGGGTAGTAAACAAGGAGGGAAGTAAAGAAGGAGGGAAGGAAAGAACGTAGGAAGAAAAGCCGGAGTGAATGTGAGAAGGTAGGAAGAAAAGAAGGAGGGAAGGAAGGAAAAAAGCAGTGAAAGAAAATAGGAGGGAAGAAAAGAAGGTATGAAGAAAAGAAGGAGAGAGGAGGGAAGGAGAGGAGGAAGGAAGGAGAGAAGGTAGGAAGAAATGAAGTAGGGAAGGAGAGGAGGGAGGAAAAAAACCATCAGGGTAGAAAACAAGGGGGAAAGTAAAGAAGGAGGGACTGAAAGAAGGTAGGGAGAAAAGAAGGAGGGAATGAGACAAGGTTGGAAGAAAAGAAGGAGGGAATGAAGGAAAGAAGCAGGGAAGGAAAGAAGGGGGAAGAAAAGAAGGAGGAAATGAGAGTAGGTAGGAAGAAAAGGAGGAGAGAAGGAGGGAAAGAGAGAAGTTAGGAAGTAGGAGGGAAGGTGTGGAGAGTGGGAAAGTAAGAGACAGGGTAAGAAAAAGAAGGGAAGAAAAGAAGGAAAGGAGGAAAGAGGTAGGAAGAAAAGAAGAAGGGAAGGAGAGCAGGTAGGAAGAAAAGCAGGAGAAAATGAGGGAAAGATAGAAGGAATGAAGGAAAGAAGCAGGGAAGGAAATAAGGAGGGAAGGAAAGAAGGAAGGAATGAAGAAAAAGGAGTGAAGAAAAGGATAAGGGAAGTAGAGAAGGAGGGAAGGAAAGAAGGTGGGGAGAAAAGAAAGAGGGACGGAGACAATGTAGGAAGAAAAAGGAGGAGGGAAAGAGAGAAGGAAGGAAGGAAACGAGGAGGGAAGAAAAGGAGGAGGGAAGGAAAGAAGGAAGGAAGGAGAGAAGGAAGGAAAGGGAAGCAGGGAAGGAAACAAGGAGGGAAGAAAAGGAGGAGAGAAGGAAAGAAGGAAAGAAGGAAAGAAAACATGAAGGAGAGAAGAAAAGAAGGAAGGAAGGAAAGAAGGGGGAAAGGAAAGAAAGAGTGGAGGAAAGAAGGTAGGAAGAAAAGGAGGAGGGAAGGAGAGAAGGAAGGAAACAAGGAGGAATGAAAAGAAGGAGGGAAGGAGAGAAGTTAGGAAGAAAAGAAAGAGAGAAGGAGGGAAAGAGAGAAGGAGAGAAGATAGGAAGAAAAGAAGGGAGGAAGGAGAGAAGGAAGCAAGGAGAGAAGGTAGGAAGAAAAGAAGGAATGAAGGAAAGAAGAAGGAAGGAAAGAAGGAGTGGAGGAAAGAAGGTAGGAAGAAAAGGAGGAGGGAAGAAAAGAAGAAGGGAAGAAGGAGGAAGAAAAAAGAAAGAGGGAAGGAGGGAAGAAGGAGGAAGAAAAAGAAGAAGGAAAAGAAATGTAGGAAGAAAAGAAGGAAGGAAGGAACAAGGAAATAAAGAGGGAAGGAGGAAGGGAAGAAGAAAAATGAAGAAAGAAGAAGGAGGAAAGAAGAAAAGAAGAAGAAGAGAAGGAGAGAAGGAGGAAGGAGGGAAGGAGGAAAGAGAGAAGGAGAGAAGGAAACAAGGAAGGAAGAAAAGAAGGAGGGAAAGAAAGAAGGTAGGAAGACAAGAAGGAGAGAAGGAAAGAATGATGGAAGGAAAGAAGGAGGGAAGGAAAGAAGGAGTGGAGGAAAGAAGGTAGGAAGAAAAGGAGGAGGGAAGGTGAGAAGGAAGGAAACAAGGAGGGAAGAAAAGAAGGAGGGAAGGAGAGAAGGTAGGAAGGAACGAAGGAATGAAGGAGGGAAGAAAAGAAGGAGGGAAGGAGAGTACGTAGGAAGAAAAGAAGCAGGGAAGGAAAGAAGGTAGGAAGAAAAGCAGGAGGGAAGGCGCGAAGGAAGGAAGGAAGGAAGGAAGGAGAGAAGGGAACAAGGAGGGAAGAAAAGGAGGAGGGAAGGAAAGTAGTTATGAAGAAAAGAAGGAGGGAAGGTGAGAAGGAAGGAAGGAAACAAGGAGGAAAGGAGAGAAGGTAGGAAGAAAAGAAGGAAGAGAAGGAAGGACGGAGAGAAGGAGGGAAGGAGAGAAGATAGGAAGAAAAGGAGGAGGGATGGAGAGAAGGAAGGAAGGAAAAGGGGTGAAGAAAGAAGGAAGGAAGGAAGGAAGGAAGGTAGGTAGGAAAGAAGCAGGGAAGGAAGCAAGGAGGGAAGAAAAGGAGGGGAGAAAAAAAGGTAGGAAGAAAAGAAGGAGGAAAGAAATGAAGGAGGGGAGAAAAGAAGGAGGGAATGAAGGTATACAGAACGCTACATAATAATCGCCATAAAACTTTTACGATTAACAAAACATTGCAAGAAGCGATCTTTAAAAGTAGCTTTTCTACAAAAATTATGAAATAATTTTAAGAATTAAAAATTTGTTTTGAGATAATTTTTTTAAAATCTGCTTTCCTTTTAGGAACCTCGACTTTATGAATTGAAGAGCAATGCTAGATTATCATTTTCCCACCGCCGTAACGTAGCTTCCTTATGACTTTTCTTATAATACATGGTAATCATTCTAATGAAAATTCGTCTATACTGCCTAGATTTTATTTAATCATTTAGTAGCGTGTTCTCGTTATTTTTTAGTTTAAATGGCAAGTTGTGACTATAAGTTCTGCTAACAGTTTCTTCACTTGCACATTTTTGTTACTTTCCAGTCAATTTTAATCATCAAAAATTTGAATGCAATATCAATCGTTATCTCCTACATTCTTAATTCCTTGTCTTTTATTGTTCTTTCTCCTTAATAGTAGTTTTTCTCATTTTCTTCCACACTCAGTAAGACCTTTGCATCTTAGTGGCTTTATTGCCTTGCTTAGGGCCAAGTCATTTGTAAAAAAGTTAAAGGCGGAAACCAGATTGGGGTATTTTTACTCTGTTTTAAATTAAGTCAGTCTACATGTGGATGAGCGATTCGTATAGCTGTTAGCGTCCGAGCATGTTTCAGTTCACTTTCGTACATATGGTCTTGGGGAAGTTTTGAATTCATTTCTTCTTCTCTCCAGCTATGTGTTAAATAGCAGTGCTAACTAGGAACTCTTGCCTCGAGGTGGCAAAAAATCTAGAGAAGGAAAACTCTGAATTCAAAACAAGCCTGATGAGGGATAATCACCGTGAGACTATCTTTCATCTAGGCACACCATAGTTGTTATAGCTGCAACGACCGTAAGGGTCGGGGCGCGTAACTTGTGACGAAACGACCTGTGGATTTACGGCGGCAGGCAAAAGTAACATGTTTCTTCTCAGACAATGCCATTTTGACTTAAGCCGAATTCTACGGATAACCAAATTTGGTTATTTTTTTCCCAAGATAAGTAATATGATAGAGTATATAGATCAGGCATCTCAAATTGAGGGCCCCCTGAAGGCGACATGGTCACATATGTGTTGTCATGAGGACCATGCCCGACAACCAATTGTGCACATTACAACGAATTGGAGTCATTTAATAAAATTTATTGCAGAATATTTTTGTTATTTCAATTTAGACCAAGCTAAGCAAATGATTCCATTTTAAAATCATTGAACACAAATTTGGCTGATGAATAATACAGTGAAAATATACAAATGTTGAATCTGAATTTGAATTTTTTATTTTTCTTTGTAACTTGGCAGCAACACCATTATGTGTGCCAATCATATTCGCAGCACTAGCATGGAAGTTTACTCAAATCAAAACTATATTCATGCAAAACCTGCTCAAATCTCTCAAAGATGTCCTGGCTTGTTGTAATGTTATGCATGGAGACCAGATCAATCTATTCTTTATAAATATTAAATTCACTGTCTTTTCTGTCTTCATTGACTTGAATGAAGATCACGCAATCAAGAAGTAATATGTGGCTTTGAATCAACATAGTCTTGCTGAAGTAGGTAGTAAGCAGATAAGCTAGAACTCTAAATCTCTGCTTGTTTATTCCTTCTACTGACGATTTCCAGCGTCCGAATTTACCGAAGAAGTGTGTTTATCTCTACAACACTATCACAAGCCCTGATAGAATAATGTCCAAACCTTCATGATACAGCCTTCAGCTGTTGTTTCAAATCACCTGACATTTCATCAATTCGTTCAGCAACAGTGTTCCTGGTTAATGAAATCTCTTTGAATAAGAGTACTTTCTCTGGACATTACAATTCAGCTGTTTTTACAAGGCATTGCTTTACAAAATCTACTTCCCTGTAAAATTTCCCACTCATGGCTATCATTCAGCTGAGTTCATAGCCTGCAGTAACGGAAGCGACATTCTGTTTCTCAATGTTCGTAAAAAAAGGTCTGTTGCTGTGTCAAATTATCCTTGAATTCCTTGTGTTTTGAACGTTCATTGAGACTTCATATTTATCCTAAGATAAATGGTTCGTTTCATAATGTATTTTCACGTCATACTCTTTTGGCGTGGTGATGGAGTTGTAAATTAAACAATGTATCTTTTCATTTAGCGTTGTGTAAAAATACCATAATTCCCACTTTTCTTGAAACATTCGCCCTTCTTCATTCAATTTTCTTTTTCTCTTTAACCGGAGGGGCACTATCATTTTTAGGGTTGAAATAAAAGGAAAAACTAATTTTCAAAATTGATGATGCCGAATCTGAAAAATTACTGGTACATTTAAACTACAGCTTACAGTAAAAAGAGATAAAACAATTTTGATAATGCCTCGAAAACATTTTTGGCTAACATTTCACCTTTAAAAGAAAAAACTTTTGAAATTTTGAAACTTTACTGTTTAAACTGTTAATGAGCTGCCATATTGTTTTTGTGGTATGATGGCTGGTGGTATGGATACAAAAGAAAATTTGTTCCCGCACCATTTTCTCATTTACCAAGAATATCGAATATTTGCTACAATTTTTAAAATACTACTACTACTACTACTAATAATAATTCTCTACCATGCTAACTTAAAGTTTGTCGATAATATTAAAATTATTTTAAAGAAATCTATGTAGTAAATGCTATTCTTACTTCGTATTCTATCAAAATATAAAAACGTGATTTATTTTCTTAAATATTGTAATTTCTAAATTAAAAAAAAAACTACAATTTTGGTCGTTAAATGACCAAATTAGTGACCTTTGTGCGGGTCGCATATTGGAAATGCTGGATATAAATAATCCTACATCTTAATAGATTATAGATAATCTTAAAACATTGTAACCCGAAATCCACCAGAGATTACATATTTTTAAAAACACTTAATATGTATTTAGAAACAATCACATGCACATAAAAATAATATTTGATTGAATTCGTGCGTTGAATTACTTCTAAAATCCTCTATTGTCGAGGATCTCTGAATATACAGAGAGAGAGAGAGAGAGAGAGAGAGAGAGAGAGAGAGAGAGAGAAAGAAAGAGAGAGAGAGAGATTATCAGTGCAGAACAGTCCAGGTGGGAAAATGGATTTTATGGCCTTTATGGAATGCAATGACTTCTCACGGGTAATAAACAATAAAATTGACAATAGTGTATAATATGCCAGGTTAATAGACTTGCACATGAGTCGGGTGACAGGTGCATCGTTTGAGAAATGATCTCACACCCCAAAACTATCGAATTAAACTTTGATGTCAAACGTTATTTTGTGGATACACATATTGGAGTAGAAGCCCTGTTTTTATTTTTATTTTTTTTAAACAGAGTGAATAACTTCTACCGGGCTGTGCATTCGATAGATTTAATAAAGAGGATATAATCAACAGCATGACTCAAACCAGCATCATCATCTGCAGGAAAAAAAAATCCAGTGAGACGGTGTGCTTGAGGCCGCTCGGCCATATACATACACGGATAGCGAGGTAGTAAAAAAAGACCGCTCGGCCATATACATACACGGATAGCGAGGTAGTAAAAAAAGACCGCTCGGCCATATACATACGCGGATAGCGAGGTAGTAAAAAAAGACCGGTCGGCCATATATATACGCAGATAGCGAGGTAAAAAAACTAGTCGGACGCAGATAATCGCTCGGCCATATACATACGCGGATAGCGAGGAAGTAAAAAAGACCGCTCGGCCATATACATACGCGGATAGCGATAAAAAGCGATATATATACGCAGATAGCGAGGTAGTAAAAAAAGACCGCTCGGCCATATACATACGCGGATAGCGAGGTAGTAAAAAAAGACCGGTCGGCCATATATATACGCAGATAGCGAGGTAGTAAAAAAGGACTAATCGGCCATATACATACGCAGATAGCGAGGAAGTAAAAAAAGACTAGTCGGCCATATGCATACGCAGATAGCGATGTAGTAAAAAAAAGACCGCTCGGCCATATACATACGCGGATAGCGAGGTAGTAAAAAAAGACCGCTCGGCCATATACATACGCGGATAGCGAGGTAGTAAAATACATACGACCGGTCGTAAAAAAAAAGCCATATATACGCAGATAGCGAGGCAGTAAAAAAAGTCTGGACTAATACGCAGATAGCATACGCAGATAAAGACCGCTCGGCCAAGTAAAAAAAGACTAGTCGGCCATATGCATACGCAGATAGCGATGTAGTAAAAAAAAGACCGCTCCGCCATATACATACGCGGATAGAGAGGTAGTAAAAAAAGCCCGCTCGACCATATACATACGCAGATAGCGATGTAGTAGAAAAAGACCGCTCGACCATATACATACGCAGATAGCGAGGTAGTAAAAAAAGACCGGTCGGCCATATACATACGCAGATAGCGAGGCAGTAAAAAAAGACTAGTCTGCCATATACATACGCAGATAGCGAGGAAGTAAATAAAGACCGCTCGGCCATATACATACGCAGATAGCGAGGTAGTAAAAAAAGACTAGTCGGCCATATACATACGCTGATAGTGAGGTAGTAAAAAAAGAACCGGTCGTCCATATACGTACGCAGATAGCGAGGTAGTAAAAAAGACTAGTCGGCCATATACATACGCAGATAGCGAGGTAGTAAAAAAAGACCGGTCTTCCATATACATACGCAGATAGCGAGGTAGTAAAAAAAGACCGGTCGTCCATATACATACGCAGATAGCGAGGTAGTGAAAAAAGTCTAGTCGGCCATACGCAGATAGCGAGGAAGTAAATAAAGACCGCTCGACCATATACATACGCAGATAGCGATGTAGTAAAAAAGACCAGTCTGCCATATATACATACCGCGGATAGCGAGGTAGTAAAAAAAAGACCGCTCCGCCATATACATACGCGGATAGCAGATAAAAAGACCGCTCGGCCATATACATACGCAGATAGCGAGGTAGTAAAAAAAGACTAGTCGGCCATATACATACGCTGATAGAGAGGTAGTAAAAAAAGACCGGTCGTCCATATACATACGCAGATAGCTAGGTAGTTAAAAAAGACCGGTCATTATCTATTACATCACCGGCACATTCAAGCTTGCGGCACTTGGAACTCCCAAGAAATCACCCATCTAGGTACTGACCAGGCTCGACGTTGCTTAATTTCAAAATCATATAGGAATCGTTGTTTCAACGTGATGCGTCTGTAAACTGGTCCCTAGCAAGGGCAGAAAAATGCCACAGTGAAAATATGTCATATTTTCATTTAATATAATGTTTTATATAAAATAAATTACATCTGTTTATATTTCTGAGATGAGGTATTATGTACACTATTTACATTCGGACTATTGTCCTCATCTTTGTCGCCATATTTATTACAACGTTTCGGCCATTATACGCTCCGGCCTTCTTCAGTTGGTTGGAATGTCGAACTGAACCCTTTATTTCGCTCACTGGGGTAGACTGTTCTAGTTCCACGTGCCATGTTTAATGAATGTCAGTTATCAGTTATCTCCTGTTAATTCCCCTCTCCAAGTTTTCAACTGCCAGTGGATAAAGAGTGTGAGTTCAATACCTGGTTAAGGCAGTGGAGAACTTGGAGAGGGGAATTAACAGGAGATAACTGATAACTGACATCCATCAAACATGGCACGTGGAACTAGAACAGTCTACCCCAGTGAGCGAAATAAAGGGTTCAGTTCGACATTCCAATTACCTGAAGAAGGCCGGAGCGTACAATGGCCGAAACGTTGTATTAAATAAGGCGACAAAGATGAGGACAATATTTCGAATAATGTAAATATTGTAAGTTATATCTTTATTTCATATATCTAAATAAAATCCAAAAACTATTTAATCTATATTAATGAAATAAGTAATATTTGTTCAGTTTATGATATTACTTATTGCTTTTCTAGAAAGTAAATGTGATTTTATTAACATATATTAAATAAATCAAAATATACCTATTAAAAATTTAACTATTTTAAATAAAAATATTAATTCTTCGCGTGATTTGCTGTTTTTAGCCGTGACCTTTTGTCCTACACAGAGCTAGAGCTTCTCAATCTTCGCAATCCAACCGTACTAGAAATCGTAATCGTTTACACTATATTGTGAGGGTGGGGTGGGTGTTGGTTGGAGTGAATGATTTGTTTTCCGCTCTGCAACCTTTTTCCTCACAGACGCAAACCTTGTAAGCCTATTGCTAATTAATCTCTGTTTTCATGACAAATATTCAGATGAGCTTCATTTTTTTGTTCCACCAATTCAGACCTTTACAACTAGAACCTGCCATGACAATTCTACTTTCAGTCTCACACCCGCGTATTCCAAATGCAAGGAGAAAGTTGTATTCAGGCAGCTTTTCCTCAAGAATTGCTACTATGTAGAACAGGCTTCCGCGTGGATGTTTCCCTGAAATCTACAATATTAACCTCTTCAAATCATGAGTCAATCGTTATCTATACTCCTTATTCTCATAAATTCTATTTCATAATACGGACCCCAATTTCCTTCATATCAAACTTCATTCATAATCATATTAGCGATAATCATCTATCTTGAGTGGCTCTCGGGTCTTGTATCGAGTGAAACTTCGTATTAAAAAAAGGCTAAGTATATCTTCTGGTTTTTCTTCTTTGCCATTATTCTCTTGACTTTCAGAGTTATTTTTTTTTAGGTTTCAAATTTTTTTCTGCATTGGAATCAATTGGAAACTTAAGGAGACAGACATTTGAGTTTATTTAAATCTTGCTAGAACAATAATTAACATGACTATTAAGCAGAGAATGATATTGTTGTAATGCCATGTCTCTTCATAGTCTAGACGATCATGGCTATCCACAGCTTCCTTTTCTTTTTTTAATGCTACGTCTTTTCATGGCTTTCGACAGATTACTTTATTATCTATGAATTGCCATGGCTTCTTGTGCAATATTGGGGAGTGGTTTTCCGTTTTCTTCTTCCCAGTTTAGAATTGAGAGCTTTCATTTTCTTAGACTGGTTGCCAACCAAGGCTATAGATTCCAGTCTACCCTACAGTTTAATTCACAGTTTGGAGAAGGATGGGGGTGAAAAAAGATGGCTTCATTCTCAAGAACATTAGTGCGAAAATGATTGCAATTGACTATTCCGGAATTTGAACTCGGTGACCTATTCCACTTTAGATGCCGATAACCGTTATACAACCTGCATATAATAGTTAATCTTCAGATATTAATCTGGAAGTATATTTGGATTCAAGATGAGTCTCTACGTTGTTGTTAGAAATAGGCACTTGTCACGGAAGAATTTGGGAAAGTCTTTTGTCCTGCGGCAGACTAGCAATAGATTCAGTTGATAATGAACTTATATTGAATGCTTGTATATATTGAAGATTATATTTGTGGAGGAAGTATGTGGCGCCTGACGTAGAGTAAGGGTTAGTAAACACGTTTGTCAAAACCCAGTCGTTAATGTAGCAAGTACGATCATACGAGGCACTCTTTTACTATGCACTTATGTCAGACTAAACTGGGTAAATAAAAACCTGCCAAGTGGAAAAGGTAGTTGCGCAGTTCACAATAATGGTCAGTATTCGAATGCAGACAAAATACAAAGATTGAGTGTTGATTCTCACGGTAGGCAATTTCCACTGACGCAACACATTCTTTTCATCATTCCGTTCCTTTCCTATTGGCCCTGTCCTCAGCTAAGCTATACTAGTCTAGAGACGCATATTTGAAAATCAACTCAATGTTTTGAACGAGATTTCAGTGTAAACTCGACAGGATTTTATTCTCACGGCTTAAGAAAAGATGACATCTTTAAACTGGAGTTTTCAAATGGATTAAATCGACGCCGGGATTTTCTTTTTATCATAATCGACCAAGTTTATTTCAGATTGATCAGGCATCAAAATATCGTTTATTACATAAATGAACAACTCACAAAAATTGTATTTATATGTCTATATTTGTTACCGCTTTAGGCCGGATGATTTATACGAAATATCCTTCTGATTGTATATGTGCGAAGAAATTTATATTTTTTCTTCCCTACAGACGTTTATACAGACATAGGGAGCTATACAATGATTTCATATTAATGTCCTCACTAGCTGCCTATTCAAAGCTATTTACCTAAGTTTGTTATAATCTATCTATCTATCTATCTATCTATCTATCTATCTGTTTGAATTATTCTGTTCATATCTATCTCAGTCTATTCACATCTATCTATCTATCTATCTATCTATCTATCTATCTATCTATCTATCTATCTATCTATCTATCTATCTGTTTGAATTATTCTGTTCATATCTATCTATCTCAGTCTATTCACATCTATCTATCTATCTATCTATCTATCTATCTATCTATCTATCTATCTATCTATCTATCTATCTATGCGTTTTGGACATGCAGCTTTTCTCTCGCTTCTAGTCAATGTCTAACTAGTTTCTTTACTCTTTCCTTCCGCATTCTTTTCTCGCCCTTTTTTTTCTTGTCTGTGAAACTGAAATGTCAAAGAACAGCCAAAGGCCCAGTGATCCTAATGAAACAAAACACCTTTCACAGGTTGAAAAACAAAAAACTGTGAGAATATCGGATTTTCACAAGAAAATTGATTCTTCTTTCCAAATCCCACAATTGGTCTTTGAAAATAATTCCAGATTGCTGATATTCGATTAATAAAGTATTTTCCTAAGATATTATCAAGTGATATTGTTTTGCCAATTCATTTTCTCGCTGGATTACGAGCCTCTGTACGATGGGAAAACATTTAGATATGCACATAAACGCATAGAAGAAGGACTATAGTTAAGTAGAAATGGAAGTGGTCATTATTAGCTGGGTAACAAGTGATCAACAAAAGATGTTGTCATGAAGTGAAGCACTATTGAACCGGATTTTGAGAGGTAAGCCCTGTGGAGCTTCAGGTAATAAATTCGAGTCCAGGTCGGTTAAAAAGATTAAACAATGATTAGTGAATAAATAAATGGCATTAGGATTTATATATGATATTTTTCTTATATAAAGCATTGCCAACCAAAATTATTCATTTTTGACTAGGATTTATTTTCATCTTCATTTTTATTACATGAGGATTTGTAAACCATTATTGGTAATTTAAAATTAATATTTACTTGCATCTTCATTTTTAATTTGATGAAGCATTGTCAGCCATTATCATTAATTTTTGACTTTCATTTACTTTCATCTTCATGTTTATTATTACTTTATGCAATAAATAGTGAAGATGAAAGATGAAACGTAAATACTAATAAAAAATAGTTGACAAAGGTAAAGATAGTCATATTTAATAATGCAGATTAGTACCCTGAATAATATTTGTAATAAAAATCGTTAAAAATTAATAAATAGAATTTAAATCATTTCATTTATTTGTCACAAATGGATGGCATTTTTTGCAAAATTTCCAGAACACAATTTACTTAATAATTTGCAAAAAACTTCATATCGACTTTAATAATTTCTTCCAGCGATTCCACATGGATATTTTTCGTATTTGATTGTGGTTTGGAATTTGAAATCGGAGAGGCAAGTTCGAATTCCACTCGAGTTTGTTACATTTACTTACGTGTAAATAGCAAATTGGGAAGAATATGGGTAAATAACATGACAGATTGGGTCTTATACTCTTGGAGAATTACAACTCAGAGTTAAAACCCTCCAACTATGGATTAAATATTTTCACCAACCCGCAATTGCCCAAGCGTGGTATGCTTACATCCCTGAAGACATGGCCAATCAGAGAGTTGGTTTCTCCAACAGGAGTGAGAAGGCTTTAGATTTAAAAGTGATGTGTTTCGTCGGCTCTGGGATTATATTAATCCAAAACAAATATGCACAACGTAACACTTATTTTACATATTATAGATTTTTATCAAATATTTTGTTAATGCAGAATACTTCGAGTTGTTGAACTCATATTTAAAAGTTTGAAGAAGGAAATACCTTCTACTTTTTTTATTATATGAAAATCATCCAATGACATTGTACAAAAACAATGGACGGAGCGTTTCTAATTGAATTTCAAAAACAATATTTACATATTTGTACATAGACTTATTCAATCGCATATGCGCCATTTTATTCCATACCTTTTACCATTCACAATTTTACAATTTCTGTTGGGTGTGCAAAGTGACATGAGGTCTGGCGTTTTTCTAATGGAACATGACACCCACTTCTGATTGACTAATTCCGGAAGCTTTTCATCAATTACTGACTTTAATCTGGTCAATAGTACGTGTCTGAGTTCAAAATCTCATTTTGTAGGAAGATCTCGTAATACACAGTATCCTTCCAATTCCAACAGATATGCATCATCGCCTTCTTTAGATGCAAAAAACATCATTCGAGTGATTAGTGTGGCTCATTTCTTTTTTCCTAGGAGCTTTTTCGCTCCACATTGTTGTAAACAATCAACCTTCATCGTTTGTTATCAATTTTATTGTGCTTTAATAGAGGACAACAAATGAATATGCGGTTCATTAATTAAAAAAAAGTTAAACCGTGGGGCAGCCAAACATAGAAGTTATCTACTTTTCCAAGTATTTTCAAATGCTTTAAAACGTTCTTATAAAATGTGTAGAAAATCTCTGCGACCTCTCGTGTCGTGTAATTTTTTTTATCAGTGTTTCACTATTAACGACTGCAGGCATGCCGGAACATAGAAATATATAAATTTTCTCTTCTGAACCTAGCGAACCACTTACGAATATTATTGTCAGCTATTGCACCATCTCCATAAACGGCACATATCGTTTCTGCTTTTTATACAGTGGTTTTTCTTTCTAGAAATATAATGTCATCAACTAACGAGAATACCTTTTCTTTTCCTCCATTTTCACTTTTAATGAAAACAAAATTACATGTTCAAATGTCACCTATTGAAAAAACGCTACGAACATTTGCCCCAACTCCAAAATATTATTGATTGATTGATTGATTAAGAAAGTATCACGCTAGGCAAGAAAACAAACGCAATGTACCCACCATGACACCCATTCAAATAAGGGTATAGCAAATATCTGCATCATAGCCAGATGAACGTGATATGCTGACAGTGTTTGGCCGAAGCAACACGCAGCTGTGTAAATAGGAGAGATATGCTTTCAAGTCGGGTAACTTTTGTGGCCTTGTTAGGGACAGAAATAAAGACATAAAGAGAGGAATTGAGTTAAACAAATATATTAATAGAAACAAAAATACAAACATATGCAAACGAGAGTGTTACAGCAAGAATGTTCGGCCCGACTGTCAGAGCTGACTGCTGGAAACTTCCATCTCCAAAAAGGCAGTACCTGTTCCTATTTATATCTGGGAGAGTCCATGTGTGCATGGGTAAATTACCATAACAGTAACTCAATCCGCTCACCCAGTCTCCAATTAAAGGTCGTCCCAAAATCAAGGTGCTACTTTCTGGTCACTTTGGCTGGCACATTCTTCTAATTTAAACGAAAAATTACCATTTCGACACCCGGTCATACTTTTTCTCGCTACTCCCGTTCAGGGACAAACCAAATCTGTGCTACTGAACGCGATATTTACTGTAGACCATCTTAATTCACCAAGACAATTAATTGAGGTACATGTTAATAAATCAGTCAGCTAAAATCGGAAGCCGCGAGAGTCATGTCTTCTGATTTTATTGAGAGAGAGAGAGAGAGAGAGAGAGAGAGAGAGAGAGATGGGTATAGTATGCACATGCAGAACAGTCAAATATGTTCAATATGAAGATATGTTTTGATAAAAGTGGCGCATTACCTTTGCAGGTGTGACTCAGAAATACTGTCAGGTCGGTAAATCATTTTGCTCAAAAGGCCTTTGATTGATGGGGTTCCGAAGTATCTAGCTGCGACTCTCAAGTTGCCTTGGCGCTGTCTCACCCTTAACACGTAAAAGAAAAAGATCTCACCACCTGGCCTATGAGCAGAAATGCACAGTGCGTTAATCCCGAGGCAACGGACAAACACATCTATAGTAACGAATCGGGGCCATTTACCGTAGCCCATCTTAATTCACTGACACAAAACATGTACATCTTCAATCAATGAAGATCAGGTGCCATATTATTATTATTATTATTATTATTTCCTTTGATTTCTGATGTGTACTCATTTCTTTCCGGATCCCGCCCGGGGACCTAAGGTTAGAAATGGCATCATGACATTTTCCACTGAACCCTCCCCTCCCCCCTCAAAAAAAAAAAAAACAAAAGCAAAAAACATGTTTTACATAGACAAAGCCCTTCGTAATGTGTTGGCTGTACTCGTGAGAACAATTTTTCTTTAAGGCATGGGCTTCCAGGAATCCCTTCAATTAGTCTACTGGAATCTTTTCCAGCGAGTCCGAGGGCTCCAACTACAACAGGGATTGTTGATGTTCCCATGTGCCACATTTTTGAGATTTCGATTTCAAGGCCCTTGTATTTTGATAGCTTTTTGAAGATCTTCAAAGATACATTGCAGTCCGCAGGGACTGCCATATCAATAAGGAGGCACCTTTTTTTGTTTGCGGTCTCTAATAACAATGTCTGGGCGGTTGGCTTTGATTGTTCTGTCAGTGTGTATTGTGTAGTCCCATAAAATTGTAACAGGTCCTATATCCGTAACCGGTTATTATTATTATTATTATTATTATTATTCAGTGATAATTAGCAAGCTCAGATAGACCTTGTGTCAGACTAAACTTATTGGGTACACTGTGCTGTATTCAGCTCTCTTTAGTCAACTGTTAATCTCTGTGTTAATCCAGAAAAGAAATTTTTCTCTAAATCAATCAAATTTTGCTACAATTAAAATTTGATATATTTTCATAGATGGTCATTTGGAATTCTCCTGTATGAAATTATTTCCCTTGGTGGAGTTCCATATCCAACATTGGATGCATCGAATCTTCTGAAAGAACTTGGGAAAGGCTACAGGATGGAAAGGCCGGACAACTGCAGTCATCAACTGTAAGTAAAAACTGCTTTGATTCTATTAGTAATTTAGTGACAAGGTTCGAAAGTAGTATTTGAAACAGACCTTGTGACAATTAAGTCAAAAACTGCAAAATCCTTTATTCATTGTAAGAACATTTTTTTGTGGATTAAAAACTTATTCTACATTTGTATTACTTTGTACGTACGTTACAATTTTCTACAAAGGATTACAACCTTCACAACTTTCCTGACCTGGAATTAATTAAGCTTTCTGACCGAGAAACTTCCATAATAGTATTGAGCGATATGAAACTGTGAAAAAAGTCATGCATTTCTTTTACATGTGTGTTCAGACCCGATCCATTCATTCTGAATATCCCGTCCTGACAACCGATTGGTCAGTCATTGATTTATTTGACAATAAATAAGAATGTAAACTTACCACCAGTAAGGGAAGGTACACTCTCTCGTGGGGTCATTCATTCAGCATTGAGGTTTATCGACCGTGTGACCATTATCGTCCCAATGATCATGTGATCTTATTTTTTTTTGGTGTGTGTGTGTGTGTGTGTGTGTGTGTGTGTGTGTGTGTGTGTGTGTGTGTGTGTGTAAAACATCGTGTATCACCCCCAGCGAGCTTTAAGGCC